CTAAACCCTAAACCCTAAACCCTAAACCCAAACCCCAACCCCCAAACCCTAAACCCCAAACCCCAAACCCCAAACCCTAAACCCTAAACCTGAAAACCGAAACCCTGAACCCTAAACCCTAAACCCTAAACCCTAAACCCTAAACCCTAAACCCTAAACCCTAAACCCTGCAAAGCTTTTAACCGTTCCTGCGCGCAGCAGCAACAAACGGCTTCACGCAGCAGGGTCTCAGGAAGCCACGAGGCCAAAGTTAGAAGTAGCATAGGGTTTAGGGTTTAGGGTTTAGGGTTTAGGGTTTAGGGTGTTACGGTGTTCGGGTTGAGGGTTGAGAGTTTAGGGTTTAGGGGTACGAGGTCATGAGGACGCCGGTGGTTAAGTATATATTACAGGGGCCTTAATGGTTAGAATAGTTTTTTGCGGGGGTAATATAGCACAACTATTACAAAGGGGCCATAAGGGAATACTACTAGTAAGTACTCCCACCCAAAAGGTAGTTTAGGTTATAAGTCTCAGGGTTTAGGGTTTCGGGTCTGAAGTATAGTCGGTATAGAAAAGGCGCCTCGCCCTGTCTTCATGCTTGACGACGAGGCGTGGCAAAGGCTGCGCACAAAAGCTTCTGGACAGCTAAGGATGGGCATGGCTCTCTATGGTTCTTCAGTTCAGGGTTCAGGGTTCAGGGTTCAGGGCTTAGGGTTTTGGGTTTAGGATTTAGGGCTAAGGGGTTAGGATTTAGTTGAGGGTTATATTTGAGGGTTATATAGTTTCCGGCCGTGATCACGAATGCATATGTCAGGCATCTGCTCCAAAGAAACTCCTCATAAAGAATATCTTGGCCGAAACCGCTGCAAGATACACTGATTCGTGGGGGAGTCGTCCCAAAGACTCTTCAGGGCCTACAGCCTGCAAAGCTAGCCTAGAAGCTCAAACCCGCGCATCATCACATCGGACAGGACCCAAGTTGATATGCAAGCGCAACGCACCACTTCGTCTTGTGCCGTAGATTTGAAGGCTTGCCTGTGCTCTCTGTCTGTGCCCCTGAGAATGCAGGCTCAACCCCGAACTAAACCCTACTATACAGAGGTTTATATAGGAGCTTATAGGGTTTTGTGGGGTTTATAGGGTTTATACACAGGTTTATATTGGAGTTTATAGGGTTTGTATGGTGTATAGGGTTCATAGGTACATTGTAGATTCTGCCTTGCCACGCATAGGCATCGCCGACCTCTGTCATGCTCTATCCCCTGTCAAGCATTTATCGTTTAAATGCCGCCAACGAATCACATCGTCCAACGATGTGACCTGCTGAGCTCGGACAGTTTTAGAAAAGTCTTTGTGCCAGAGCGAAACAGGGCACAGGCACCGCGCTGCCCCAGGAATGTGGTCAAACGTCAATCCCAGACACAGTACCCGAAACATGGAGCTCATTGTGGCTTAAGGCCTCTTCATTAGTCACGGTATATTGAGCTCTTTGGGTTTCTGGCCATTGCCGCCCGATAAAAATGAAACTCTAAACCTGAAATCCTGTACCCGAAAAGAGGAAATAACTTCTTGGCTGAGCGCTTAAACCCTTGACGTTGGCTAGCCCAATAGCCTCACTGACTTTTAGAGAAGGGAACCCAAAACTCCAAAAGGGCAATAAGTTTATTAGAAGGGAACCTTGGACCAAAAAAAGGCAAACAAAAGGGTACCACTGGGTTACCAAGACACCCTCTAACCCCGTAGAAGCTGTCGACTTGAAGACTCATAGTGTAGGGTTTAGGGTTTAGGGTTTAGGGTTTAGGGTTTAGGGTTTAGGGTTTAGGGTTTAGGGTTTAGGGCTTAGGGTTTAGGGTGTAGGGTTTAGGGTTTAGGGTAGGCCCAAAACGACCTCCCTCAAGCCTTACAACCAAAGTAAAGGGGGATGGAGCTGATGGCTTATGCTTCGTGGGTGAATGCAAGTGCCTTGACGAGGCACGTGGATCTGGTTGTGCCTGTGCCCTGTGACTGGATGGCTGTCGCTCCAACTGGCTTTGACGTAGAGAGCCTCAGGGACGATCGGCAAGTCCCGAGGCTTCGGCACTCTGCGCAAAGGCCTCGCTCTGCGGTTCGAGGCTGACAAAGCCAGGAAGAAGGGAGAAATCGACACATGGGACTGCTGCGAAGTTGCGAAGACTCGACCCAAACACGATTCCCTCCTCGCGCCAGGGTCCCTCCCTCATTAAGGGTACGTAAGCGGAGTCAAGGGGAGGTTTTGTTACGGGGTGGCGGGGGAGTGATGGACATTAGGAGCTCAAGGTGTTTTGCATGATTGGGTACTGAGCGCTGCTTAAGCTGTATTAATTCTAGAGGAACTCATGCACCGATGATGCTAACCCAACTCAGGGGTCTTATGACTCTACTTCTAGATGGCCCCTTCCTGGATCTTTTGCTGAGATTTGCAGAGGTTCAAGCGGTGATGAGGGTAGCGGGGATATCAAGGGCTCTGCAACGCTCTAAACCCTAACCCCTAACCCCTAACCCCTAAACCCTAAACCCTAAACCCTAAACTCTAAACCCTAAACTCTAAACCCTAAACCCTAAACACTCTGAAGCACAAACTTCGCTAAGTCCTTGGTGTAATCGCGCTTTTTTACAAGCAGAGACGTTCTGCGGTCTGTGCACGGACCCAGAGAGCGCCATACCCCCGCAACCCTAAACCCTAAACCCTAAACCCAAGCCTGAAACCCCCAAAAACCGTAAACCCTGAACCCCTGAACCCCGAAGACCCAAATGCCCTAAAACCTAAACTGTTCAAGGCTAGACCCAAGAGTACGTAACCTCGGTTCAAAAAAAATGGTACAAAAAGGGTGCCCTTTTGCTTGAGAGGGGATTTATAAGGGACCGGAAACCTTAAACACAAAACGACTAAGGGCCTACTCCGGGTCCTAGTTACCCTAAACCCTAAACCCTAAACCCTAAACCCTAAACCCTAAACCCTAAACCCTAAACCCTAAACCCTAAACCCTGAACCCTAATAAAGGAGTACTAAACGGAAAAACCTAAACTGATCAAGGGGTATCCGGGCCCTCTGGAGGTTGCCCGAAGCTTTCGTGTCCTCCTTGGAACAGCACGGCTCAGGGCATAAGCATAGTTCTCCAAATTGGGGGTCCCTTTTGGGGTCCTAAACCCTAAACCCTAAAACCTAAACCCTGCACCCGAAAAGGGACCCTCATTTAGAGAGCTACCCATAAGCTGGCTCTGGAGGCTTCAGATGTTGAGAGTCTCTCCAAGGCCCTCAGCTCTTGCGGATGGAGACGAACCAGAGGTATCGGTTTAGTGTTTAGGGTTTAGGGTTTAGGGTTGAGGGTTGAGGGTTGAGGGTTTAGGGTTTAGGGTTTAGGGTTTAGGGTTTAGGGTTTGGGGTTTAGGGTTTAGGGTTTAGGGTTTAGGTAGGGTCTAGGGTCTAGGGTCTAGGGCTTTAGGGTTTAGGAAAAATCCTTCACTTCAGGTTAGGGTGGGTCAAAAGCTTGGGGTTTAGGAGTTTAGGGTGTAGGTACCAGGCTCGCCGCCCCAAAGGGGCACCCTGCAAGGATTGCCCACATTGGATGCTAAAAGTTTTGGCCTCAGTGGGGCGAAATCAATTTGCGCGCGACCGGTGGAAAAACATATTCGGCGCAGTATCTGGCCTCCCTGTCCTGATTCACATGCCCAGCCGTCACAACTACTGTTTGCTTCGGAACCCCCGCCCCCTCACGTCTTGTCTTTGGGCGTTCCCAAGCGAAAGGTAGGCTAAGGCAAGAGCCCTAAACCCTAAACCCTAAACCCTAAACCCTAAACCCTAAACCCTAAACCCTAAGCCCTAAGCCCCTAAGTACTAAATTCAAACCGTGAAGCCGAGCCCCTGAAGATGAACACAAAGTCTGAGCTTACGTTCTAAAGCGATTGCAGGTTTTGTGACGATGAAGCAAAGAAATCATGGACAAGGTTCCGCCTTTCGAAACAACCGGTCTGAATGAAGTAATGCTGAGTTGTCTTGCAGCGTGCGAAGCCCATGCACATGTCCTGGGAGCTGTTCTAAATTCAGAGGGGTTGCCCTTTTCAGACAAAATGAAAACACCAAAACAGTACGACTCCCCACCCTCCGCCACCACATGCGTATGAGATATAAATTGTCTCGCCGTCTCCATCTACAAGGAGCCAATGCCCTGAACCTTACACCCCACTTACGACATCCTAAAGCGCAAGTGACAACCTACAAACAAGCAAGTCGCACAGCCCCCTCTTAGGTTCGAATCCCCGAAATACACCCCCCCCCCCCCCCCCCCCCCCCCCCCCCTAAAAAAAAAAATAACCCCCCAAAAAAACCCTTCAACCACCGCTGAACCCCTAAAATGTTTGCTAAGCCTCGAGCTCGGGGTAATAAAAGAGGGATGCTTAGTCAAAAGAGGGACGCCTGCAAGGTTGTGAGGGATCTTCGGGGGTTTAGGGTTGGGGATTTAGGGTTTAGGGTTTAGGGCCAGATGTAGGGCAACTACTTCGACTTTTTTTTGGGGGTTGCTTCGTGGTATACCGACTCGATAAACAACTACACATTGAAGCATCAAAACGGGGGCGAGTCAGGGTGTCCTTTCTATTACCCTTCGTTTAACTGTATTGACTGCCGAAGAATCGAAATATGCAATCAACACCCCCACCGAAACCCTAAACCCTATACCCTAAACCCTGAACCCTAATCCCAAATCTCGCGAAATCGTCTTGAGCACCGCAGCAGACAACAACCCAGGGAAGGACACCGTGACGCTCTGGTGCTCACGAAGGGGGCGCGGAGGAGCGGATCGCCTTCAGAGTCTCATCATAAACCCTACATAACCCTAAACCCTAAACCCTAAACCCTAAACCCTAAACCCCAAACCCTTCAACCCTAAGACCTAGAACCGACACTCCGAGTAGGTGCCTACATTCTCTCCGTCACTCCCCTGTTTTCTGCACCAGTTTCTGAGAGAGGGAGCCTGAGATACCCTCCCAGGTACGGGACATGGCTCTCATCGCCGGAGGCCGCGGGCGCATGGAGGCTGCGGCGGCTGGGCACCTAGGAAGCGACTTCTTGAAAGTTTAGGGTTTAGGGTTTAGGGTTTAGGGTTTAGGGTTTAGGGCTTGGGGTTTAGGGTTTAGGGTTTAGTTAAGCGATCTCAGGTACCCTGTTTTTTTTTTTTTTGGCGGGGGGGGGGGGGGGGGGTTTAGATTTGTAACCCAACGCAAACAAGGGTACCCCCTCATTGTCATGTGGTTGCCGGGCTTCCCCTGTTTTTGGGATGAATCTCCAGATGTCTGTCTGAAACCATTCTCTAATCTTTGCTGAAGAACCCCCTCAAAAAACAAAACTAATAATCCCTATATTGCCCTTACTTATCATTTTTGGGGGTTCTTAAGCAATTAGTAGTTCTGTGTTCATGTAACTCTTGCTAGAGAGATGGCATACTCCGATGAAAAGGATGCGGAATTGATCATATGTTACAGTCTCTTTCAGAGACGTCGGCACAGTTTTTTCATGCTTGTGCGACACGGAGATTCACGCCTTCACGATAGGAATGTTCCGTTCGTGCTCGCACTTTTGGAAACTATGGGACTCAAAGAAGTTCTAATCTCGGCTTGCCGACTTTGTTTACGGCAGGTCTACAGGCGGATCTAGTAGAATGCTGTCACGCATGCAGGTTCCGAAACCTCGATCATCGTGCCGAAGCGTACATCTAAACCCCAAGAAAAACACCTGCGAAGCAAAAAGCAAAACCAGATTCTAGAGACCCAACGCCTTCTCAGAAAAAGCAATCTTACAAAGAGAGAACTTCCCAAGGTCCTGAACAACCCTAAGCCCAAACATCCAAAACCCCAAACTCACAAATCCAAAAACATGAACCATCCCAAAACACTGAGCCAAACCCCAATACCCTGGACCCAGAAACCCTAAATCCTCAAAACCGTAAACGCTCACCCCCCCCCCCCCCCCCCCTCACACACACACACACACACACGCACAAAACACAAAAAAAGAAGCTCCCACCAACGCTCTTTGTGAACGGTCTAAGGCCAAGTCCAAGGCGTGTCAGGTGAAGCGCCTGAGTCTGGAGTGAGGGTTGAGGCTTTAGAATCTAGAGACTCGTTCTTTACTACTACTACTACTACTACTACTACTACTACTACTACTACTACTACTACTACTACTACTACTACTACTACTACTACTTCTACTACTACTACTACTACTACTGCTACTACTACTACTACTACTACTACTACTACTACGACTACGACTACTACTACTACTACTACTACTACTACTACTACTACTACTACTACTACTACTACTACTACTACCGCTACTGCTACTACTACTACCGCTACTGCTACTACTTACTACTACTACTTCTTCTACTACTACTACTACTACTGCTACTTCTTCTACTACTACTATTACTATTACTATTACTACTACTACTACGATTACTACTACTACTACTACTACTACTACTACTACTACTACTACTACTACTACTACTACTACTGCTACTGCTACTACTACTACTACTACTACTACTACTACTACTACTACTACTACTACTACTACTGCTGCTACTGCTACTGCTACTGCTACTACTGCTACTGCTACTGCTACTGCTACTGCTACTGCTACTGCTACTGCTACTAACAGGGCACGCTTAGCTGTGGTCTTTTTGGGCAAGCCGCTTTCGACTACTTCATGAGGAATGCCCAAGTTTCACAAGAACCTGACCAGTTCTATGACTCACCTATTGTTAGCTGCGCAGGTCTTTAGTGCGAATACATAAATCTTGCCGACTAATGCAGGAGCCCAAATCTATATGTACATAAATTTATGTACATAGATATATGTACATACATATATATATATGTACATAATGTGCATATATGCATACACGTAGATGTATAGATGTACATATATCTAGATATAACTATGATTTGAGCTTTTGGCCATAATCAAGCGGATTGTTCTTTGGGTACTCAAGAGGCCCGTTTTTGTAGCTTTTGTTCGCTGATTCGGGGCCCTTCGCAATCTGACTGCCAAGCCTAGACAAAATCCCTTGAACAGGCTCATGCTCGGGTCCGCAACACATGTGACATGGACGAACATATTCCCACAAAGAAAAATATCTCCGAACAAAAACGAACACAGTATGTTCAGGCGTGCTACTTGAGGCTCCATTTGCTGCAGGCCGAGACAATTCGCTTAACCCTCTAAGCCTAATGAGTAGCTCTCTAAATTCGGATCCCTTTTGGGAATCCTTTTTATAAGTTTCCGTACGAAAGGGGGACCCGAGCCTAAAAACCCTAAAACCCTAAAACCCTCAACCCTCAACCCTAAACCCTAAAGAACCCCTGAAACTCCAAACCCCAAATTTTCGGCAGCGCGGCGGAACCCGCCACAGCCATCAGGAAGACGAAGATGGCGCCTGTGGCTTAGGGCTGGCACCCAGGGTTGGGGTTTGGGGTTTTGGGTTTAGGGTTTGGGGTGTAGGGTTTAAGGTTTAGGGTTTAGGGTTTGGGGTTTAGGGTTTGGGGTTCAGGGTTTGCTTGGTTTGGGGGTTCAGGGTTTACGATTCAGAAACCTGACATTCTACAGGAACCTTTGGCGTTGTGCATCGAAGGCTTTGAGCCTGATTTCATACGATACTTTGGAACGCGATATGTCTTGCTGCCTTTGGGAAAACTGCACACAAAACGTACAAATATTTGATGGATCCCCGTAGAAGGTCGCAAAGGAATGACGACGATACGCCTGAAGCAAGGGATCTACGTACTGTTGTTGACAATATGAACACATTCGCACACTCAACGACCAACCCTAAACCCTAAACCCTGAACCCTGAACCCTAAACCCTAAACCCTAAACCCTAACCCCCCCTTCGGGGATGGCCCGGAGGCTTAACACCCAACAGTGCCAGTATGTGCTGTTGCGAACCACCAGAGCCCAATAGCCGCCCACTAAGGAATGTTTAGGGGTCCCCCTTTAAGGGCCCGTACTAAGGGACCATGTAACTACCCCAAGGCAGTTGGTAGGGTAAAGCGGTGGGGGGAGGGGTTAAGGGGCAAAAGGGGGGGACCCCAAGAAGGGACCCTTATTCCCATATATATCCCATATTTAACCCCCTATATATACCTTGTATAGCTAAACCCTAAACCCTGAACCCTTAAATAACCCCCAAGGTTCCTTGTAAGGGTGCCTCCTTCAGTCCCTAGAAAAAAGTAGACCTGAAGCCAGAAAAGGGTCCTTATTCTGATGCACAGTCTATTCCTGCGAGGTCAGAGGTATGGACCTGCAACCATCTAAAAATGCTGCTTCTGATAGGTATCTTCCTGACTTTAGAGGCATTGCGCTCTTTGGCAATACCACCTAAACCCTAAGCCTAGACCCGAAAGCCTTAAATCCAAAGCCGAAGCCCCAAGCCCTGAGTTTAAGGCATATTTCCCAACAGCACGGGTTGTTGGGCTCTCAAGTGTATGGTAACCCTGCAAGGAGGGGCCCCCTAGTGCATTTATGGGCGCCCTAGGGTTCAGGGTTTCGGGTCTAGGGACCCCAAACCCTAAACCCTGAACTGGGTTGCAGGTTGTATGGCTTTGCTTACTGTTGGTTCGGCGGGAATGAAAGGTTAAGGTACCCTATATCCCCCTATATTATCCCTTAAAGGGTATAGATGGTACCTTTTTCTTTCATTCCCTCCTAACCAACAGTAAGTTTGGTTGTAACTATAGCTTAGGAAGCTCGGGAAGGTACTGCAATTCAGAAAGGTCCCTGTGTGGTTTACGGTCTACTCCTTATCTGAGGAGAATTGGGCTGTCTTGGCTGTAGGGTTTAGGGTTTAGGGTTTAGGGTTGAGGGTTGAGGGTTGAAGGGTTTAGGGTTTAGGGTTCAGGGTTTAGGGTTCAGGGTGATAGGATATACGAAGCGCTTCCACTCCAGGTATACACATGGCATGATGGCTTAAGTCTGTCGGCGGAAGGGTTTAGGTTAAGGTTGAAGGTCTAGGGTTTAAGGCTTGGGTTTAAGGTTCCCTAACCTTTGGGCAGCTTGAGTTGTGGGTAAGGCTAGAAGTGTTGTGGAAGAAGTATCGGGGAAGTTTGGGAAATAACGACCTGCAAGCTGACAGGGGGTCTTAGAAGCAAATGACACCCAAACTCCCTGCCGAACAAAAGTACTACCCACTTCCCTGAACCTTGAAAGCCGTGTAAGCTCCAATCACGAAAGCCTGAAACCAAGAAATCAACCTCTGAAGCTCGACCCTAAACCCTAAACCCTAGACCCTAAACCCTAAACCCCTTAACCCCCAAACCCTTCTGCAAATCCCGAAGCCCGCAAATCTTCAACAAACCTTTACACCTTGCAACTATGCCCAGAAACCCTTTAAAATATAAGGGCTACTCCTTAAACAAGCCATTGGGAAGATCTGGGCAAAACGCACCCTACATACGGCTCAGGGTTGGGTTTTTGAAACCAAACCCTAAACCCTGAAACTTAAAACCCAAATCCAAACATCCCACAGCTGTTCCAAGACACCTGTCGTTCGGCGCACCCGCTTTTTCAGGAGAGGGGACGAGTCCGAAATCTCAGACTCAGAGCCTTTGTTAAGGAGGGTTTACATACCCTAAACCCTCAACCCTTTGTTTAGGGTTTTGGGTTTAGGTTTTTAGGGTCTAGGGTTTAGGGTTTTAGGGGTTTAGGGGTTTTAGGGTTTTAGGGTTTTAGGGTTTTAGGGTTTTAGGGTTCTGGGGTTTGGGGTTTGGGGCTCAGGACCCAATATCCGCAAGGAAAAGAAGCCCAGACTCATCAATCGATCTTTGCGGGAATAGTAATAATTCGTCTTCGAGGGGAACCACTGCTGAGTTGAGGGCTAGTGGGGTCTCTGGGTTCGAAATACAGCCTGAGGCTCAAGAAGATCGCCGACTAGGGTTTGGGGTTCAAGGTTCAGGGTTTGGGCTTCATACTTAAGGTTCAGGATTCAGGATCTGGCGGGGGGGGGGGGGGGGGGGGGGGGGGGGGGGGGCAGGCCGCACAAGAACAAATCCGCAAGTGACTCCCCACCGCATGTGAGTGTTTCCCACAACTAGGGTGGTAGCTGTATATTCGGGAGTCCTTAGAAAGAGGCATATAATGTGTATCCCGGTATCCCTAGTTTAGGCAAACCCCAGTCCGAACTCTGACATTTTACACAGCCAGGGCGTAGACCACTTGTTTACGCTTCTTCATACAGCTCAGTCGTCAGAGGAACATTACCAATACATGCTAGACCCAGGAGTAACCTAGGAAAAAAAGGGTTCCCTTTTTTGTATTTAGGGGACTATAAGGGAACCCCAACTTTAAAATAAAATGAGGGCCTACTCCGGGTCCTAGTATGGGGGTTTCCCAAAATAGGGGTACCTTTTCGGGGAATCCCTTTCTGTTTGGGGTATATAAAGGGTACCGAAATGCCCATATTAATATCGTTTCTGAACCAGCAAAAAGGACACACAATATACACTATACACTCGCTAAATCTTTAAAAGGAACCATACAAAGATCTACCTCGGTATGCCAGTGCCAGAAAGGGCACATGATTTGGATCCCCACGAAACCCCAAATATCTTGTGTATGCCCAAAACTCCTCCAGCCGCCACCATGCATTCAAGCTCACAACCTACTCTGTAGTATGGAAGGCTTTCAAAAGACGCGGGTTTGGGCTTAGGGTTTAGGGTTTAGGGTTTAGGGTTTAGGGTTTAGGGTTTAGGAACCCTAGAGGTCGGGATGTCGAAAGCCCTCTCTTCTGCCCCGCCACGCCAGTTGTCGGGCATGGATTTGGCCGGCCCACAAACCGCGACCGTCTGCCTGGGGCACTCACACTTTGGGCAGTCGGGTTTACGGTGTAGGGCTTGTAGGTTGAGGGTGTAGGGTTTACTGGTGTTAAGTTTATCTTAAGGTTTCTAGGGCTTAGGGCTCTGGACTGGGGGCAATGGAGGCCGCTTCTAGGGTTTTAATTACAATACCGAACGCCGCGCCTTTATGTTTGGGGTACCCAAAAGAGGGCCATGATGTTGAGAACTCCCACGTGCTGGAGAGAGAGAGCGGGGAGAGAGAGAGATAGAGAGAGAGAGAGAGAGACAGGAGAGAGAAAGGGCTTCGGGTTTTACATGTAGGGCTTAGGCTTTAGTGCTTCTACATCATAAAAAAACACAGAAAAGGGCAGCACTAAGGGACCGAATGAATCGTGGTTGTCAAAACCGGATTGGCCCATTTTCCGCGCACCCCCTTACGGCTTTTGGGGTTTGGGGATGCTTTTGGGGTGAGGGATACTTAGGGTATAATGTATAGGGTTTAGGGCGTAGGAGTTTAGGGTCCAGGGAATATTTTCTTGCGGAGAAGGATCGCAGTGAGCTTTTGAGGCTTGGGCCCTCAGTGCGGTTTAGGGTTTAGGGTTTATAGGGTTTAGGGTTGAGGGTTGAGGGTTGAGGGTCGAGGGTTGAGGGTTGAGGGCTGAGGGTCTAGGGTTGAGGTATAGGGTTTGTTCATTTGGGGAGGTAGAAGTAAGGTGACGAGTACCCCAGGCTATCAGTCAAGCTGCCATAGGTATAGCCCTACTTACTCGCCCTCAACCTCCAAGTAGAGGTTCAGGGTTTCTTTCACACTTCAAGCTGTCAGTTGGGTCCACAATGGGGGGGAGGGTAGCCTTTTTGAAAACGTGTTTGTTCCGCAAAGTCAAGCAACTAGACCCAGAGACCCAGGAGTAAGCCAGGAATAAAAAGGTACCCTTCTTGGATTTAGGCCTTAGGGTTTTGGGTAGTTTAGGAACCCTCAGCTTCTTAAGCATCTATGTTTCAGGGAACCCTAAACCCTAAACCCTAAACCCTAAACCCTAAACCCTAAATGCCTCCTAAACATGAATGTGCTTCAGAGACACCGGGAGCGCAGATCTTCCCACTGGAAGGTGAGCCTGCCGTGACCACGGCTTCAGGAGGCAGAGCTCCCAGGTCGAAGGCTTCTATACGGGAGGGAGGGTTGGGGATGGGGGTTTGGGGTTTGGGGGTTTGGGGGTTTGGGTTTGGGGTTTAGGGTTTCGGGTTTAGGGGTTAGGGTTTCGGGTTTAGGGTTTAGGGTGTGTCGGGGGGGGGACGGGGGGGGCGAAGGGAAGGGAAATCTTGAGGACTGGAGACTGAGACTAGGCAAGGTGTACACGGGGCAATCTACCCGCCTGAAAGTGTCAAGGATACTCATTAATCCATATAACTAACCCTCTTATATGTTGAGGAATATTCCTTAATTAAGGGGGATTGGAGTCCCTCGGTAGTACCCTCTGAGGATAAAAAGGATGGACACAGTATTCACCAAAACAGCGCCTGTATTACCCCCACTCCCCACCCCCCGGGGTCCCTCATCTAAACAGCAACTCCTAGTTCCTAAAGCTCAAAGACAGATGGAGGCTCTTACTCAGCCTCCTCAGGATTTAAGGTTTCGGACAACGGCGTCATAGGTCAAAATACACCTGGACACTAAGAAACCCCAGATCGGTGACCATAGCCTTCAGCCCCCTACTCGAAATCCTGAACCCCAAGCCAACAACCCCACAACCATCAACAACCCCTCGCAAACCCCCACCCCGGCAAGATCCAAAGCCCCAAGCCCAAATCCGCAAAAACACGACCACTCTTCCTAGACCCAAAAGCAACCTGGGAATAACAAAGCCTATATTTGGCTTAAGGGTCCTGATAATAAGGGGACCAAACCCTTAAAGAAAGGGTACACTGTGGGTCCTAGCTTCACACTGAATTCGGAAGCCTGCGGCCCTATTAACCCGAAACCCGAAGCCCACCTCTCCACCTCCTGCGCGAGTTGGGCTCGCGCGGCTTCGGACTCCTCGAGCCGCGCCTAGGCAGTGCAGGGTATAGGGTTTAGGGTTCAGGGCTTAGGGTTTAGGGCTTAGGGTTTAGGGTTTAGGGCTTAGGGCTTAGGGTTTAGGGACCCATAAAAAAGGAATATTGATTGAAATATACGAGGGTTCCTTATATGGATTAAGGATTATTCCTTAATTAAGGGTATTGGAGTCTCCGGGTGGGTACTGCTAGCTATAAGCATAAGTATGGTAAGCAAAGTGACAAATCCTATTTAGGATACTTGTGCAACTACTTATAAAAAGCCCATGAACCTTCAAGTGGTGTCTCGAGGCTTAGGCGCTTTCAGGAAACCCTAGACTCTAAACTCTAAACCCTAAACCCTGAACCCTAAACCTTGTTTGTTTGTTTGTTTTGCTTGTTTCCCACATCATTATGCACCGCCGGCACTCCGTCGACCCGCCGTGGCGTCCACCATACATCAGTCAATCAATCAATCAGGGTTTAGGGTTTAGGGTGTAGGGTTTAGGGTTTAGGGTTTAGGGTTTAGGGTTTAGGGTTTGTCGATCAAACAGTCAATCAACCAATCAATCAGTCAAAACAATCAACCCTAACCATGGCCCGCTTGAAAAAACGTGGGATTTCGCTTGAAACTACCACTCGAATCTGCTTCGCTTGCAAATACCATGTGCACGTGGGGTTTTTGGGTTGACCTGCTATATAGGAATCGGATGGGGTGCTAGGTTCTCCGCAGGCGTTTATCAACGATTCCGCACAGGTTTTTTAAGGCTAGGATTTCAATGAGTTGCAACAAACGTCGTGCTTCCGCTTGGTTTCTGATTCACTCTCCGCCAGGTTCCCCGCTAGATTGTTGCGGCGCTTGCTTTTCATAGAAACGCCGTGTATCAGCTTAACAGTTCCAGTCGGACCCGATCCACTTGAAACTACCATGTGCAACCTTTTTTTCCTGGTGGCCGATGCATGGGCAAACCAATCAAATGAATCATTCAGTCAATGAACCTGCCAAACAAACGAATCCACCCGCGCACCAATAAAGATTATAACATTAAAGTCACTTATCATGTTCATGATAATGTGGGTACGGCAAAGAAGAAAGCACATGATCTACAAAACCCCATGAGAGAGTCAGATGAAGATAATAAGTTGGGGCACAATGTACGGCCAAGTGCGCAGATTTTTGCATGACTGCTAATATAGCTTATTGCCTTCTTATTTGGATTCCTTGCGGGATTTCTCGCTTGATAAAGGGGCCAAGGAAAGAAGTAAATTAGAGAACGGTCAACATCCCATTTCCTTGGTCTGTGGGCTAATGATGAACAGATTCTTGTAACCCAACATAAATTCTTCGGGCTTAGGGCGCTTGAAACGGGATCGTGGGTTGGTTTATGTTGACACATGTGAAGGGTTTGCAGGATTGCGGTTGTCTGCAGGACTTATCTTCTGTGCAGGGTTAGTCCTGCTTTGGATGCTTAATAGTGATCAGAATTCAGGGTTTAGGGTTTAGGGTTCCCCAGGGTTTGGGGTTAAGGGTTAAATGCCCTTTCGCCCTAACTAACAAAGCCCATAAACCCTGAAACCCCAAACTGTGGGGCTGGGCTGGGGGAGGTTAACCCTCAACCCTCAACCCTCAACCCTGAATCCTAAACCCTTGCTACAGAAGTTTAGGATTGACATATGGGAGTTGACGAAAACAAGGGATCCCTATTCTCGACCCCCCAAATAGTAAGCTTCCATTATAACAAGGACCCCAATTAAGTACCCCTAAGTTCGGACACCACCCCCCCCCCCCCCCCCTAATATAGGGTTCAATGGTTTAGGATTTTAGGGCTAATGATCCCCCTTATACTACCAGTCCTTAATTGGGATTTTCGTTGGGGCTAGTATACGGGGTACTCGAATCCCTATTAAGGACTGCTAGCACAAGGGGCAAACATCCCAAGGTCTAAGGGTTTAGGGTTTAGGGCTTAGGGGTTAGGGTTTAGGGTTTAGGGTTTAGGGTTTAGCGTTTAGGGTTTAGGGTTTAGGGTTTATGAAAGGTTGCCTACTCAGGACCCTAAGCAGAACCCAGAGCTTGCCATGCAGATCCCTAAACCCTAAACCCTAAACCCTAAACGCTAAACCCTAAACCCTAAAACCTAAACCCTAAACCCTAAACCCTAAACCCTAAACCCTAAACCCTACCTAACCTAAAGCAGGCCTCTAGGCTGCGGTGCGACGTCAGCACCCCGCCGTGAATCCTTGCGAGGACTTAGAACTTTGAGCCTTAGCCCTAAACCCGAAACCCAAAACCCTAAAACCTAAACCTAACTTAGGGTTTGGAGTTATGATATTCCTTACTACAGGAGCCCTCAACAGGGGTACCCGTGTTTTGGAAAGACTTCGTATGTTCATTTACTCATCCACCCACCTACCTACCTGCCGATGCCATCATTCATCCATTCCACATCCTCTGACACTGGGATGTGTCGTTCACTCGACCGAGGCACAACCGTCCAACACAGAAGCCCTAAACCCTAAACCCTAAACTCTGAACCCTGAACCCTAAACCCTAAACCCTAAACCCTAAACCCTAAACCCTAAACCCTAAACCCTAAACCCTCACCCTGAAGGGCTGAAACATAGGCCACAGGCAAGTTTCTAAGTGCACGCTTCGCTCCCAGGTCCGACTATAAGAAAAGGCAATTGTCGCATGGATACTCACCGAGAAGCCGGGCGAAACCATACTGTGTACCTAAGCAACTCAGGAAACTGGCCCATGCTCCTACAGCGGTATCCCCAACAACTTTCTCAATCCTTAGCCAGATTAAGTACGGAGTCTCTTTCTATTGTAGCGCCCCTCAGAACACTACAGTAAACCCAAAATCCAAACCGGCACCCTAAACCCTGAACCCTAAACCCTAAATGCCTTTCAACACTCAAGAGAACGGCTCACCTTGCCTCTCGCGCTCCACAGCCTCTTCAGATGCCTGCCGGAACACTGTGGGGGAGAACGCAAAGAATGGCGCTTCGCTGTTAGAGATGTGACTTAGGACTTAATAGGGAATAGGACATTTGGGTGGCTCATACTCTAGACGCAAGAGTTGCCTGATAACAAACAGGGTACCCATTTTGGTGGAAGGGGCTTATAAGGGAGCCTCAACCCTCAAAAAAAAGGGAATAAGGGCCTACAATGGATCCCTAAGCCCAACGGACCCCTACACTCAAATGTCTTCTCAAACCACAAAGAAAATGGAGATCCCAAACTTCCCACCCACAGTTTACAGAATAGCAGCGGCAACCAGAAACCTTACCTTATTCCCCCAACCTCTCATGCTTATGGCCGCGCACCAAGAAAAGGGACACAGCAGTTGGCCTTTCGTGCACGTGTGTGTGTGTGTGTGCCCACTATTTTCAAGTTAGCCGTGTCTTGTATTCGCCTAGAGTAAGCCGTGTACCTTTACAGAACGTGAAAGAAACCAATACTCCAAAGCGTAACTACAACGAGAAGTGCTTATGTTTTGAGGCTCAGGATCCCGGAGAGTCCAGCAAAAAAGGACTTGGGTCAAGGGCTTAGGGATCAGGGCCCGAGATATGCTGTCCCCTTTTTGGAGGCCTATAAAACCCCGTGAAGGGACATGGACTCTTAACAGTTTAAAGCTTATTCAGTCCCCAAGGGTTGCAAGAACCCTGACCCTAAACCCTAAACCCTAAACCCCAAACCCCAAACCCTAAACCCTAAACCCTACAGCAACGCCCACCGCTCAGCGCGCTAAAGTACTGTAGCCCAGCACTGGCCTTCTGGAGGACGGCTGCCAAGTCTTTCTTGCCTGTGTGGCTCACCCGGCTTCCCAGCCGGCTCCATAGGGTTTAGGGTTTAGGGTTTAGGGTTTAGGGTTTGGGGTTTGGGGTTTAGGGTTTCGGGCCTACTTGGAGTTTCATGGGTAGATTGTAAGTAGAGTTATAAGTACGCTAATAGATTGTAAGTAGAGATATAAGTACGCTAATAGGGATATCAGTAGAGCTACCAGACTTAGAACCCTACTTATAACTCCCCACGAACCTCCAAGAAAACCCTCTGGAGACAACAGGCCTGCCCACCTTTGTGCATGCCTTCTGGTTCCCAAGGAATTGCAAATACACGTCTCTCTACTTTGTGCCTAGCCACTAAGTCCCCGATCCTCCAGGTAAACCCTAAACCCTAAACCCTAAACCCTAAACCCTAAACCCTAAACCCTAAACCCCAGGACGAGACTCCAAGTAAACCCCAGTCCCCAGGACTGTGGTGCCAAGAACCCTCAGGGGAGTGGTTTAAAATTTAGGGTTTGGAGTTTAGGGTTTAGGGTGTAGGTTTTTGGGTGTAGGGTTTAGGGTGTGGGGCTCAGGCTTTTAGTGTTCAGGGAAGCTTGAAAGACAAACTGTGCTCAGGAAACCGTCTGCGAACTCTTCCACAATTTGCTAACCCCAACCCCAAAGCAAGGCCGAAACATGGCTAGATTTTTTTCTTCTTTTGGGTTGGTGGGTTTAGGGTTTAGGGTTTAGGGTTTAGGGTTTAGGGTTTAGGGTTTAGGGTTTAGGGTTTAGGGTTTAGGGTTTAGGGTTTAATTAGGGTTTAGGGTTTAGACTTTTTGCTTCTTTTGGGTTGGTGGGTGGCTAACGTGGGGGGCAGTATAGCTTATCCTTGTTTAGAACCTTATGTAGTATGCAAGAATACGCTTATTCCTACTATTTGGGCTTTGTGAAACGAGCATAAAGCATAATTGCTGGGAAGACGACTTGGAGGTTGATGTAGGGTTGTGAGTACCCTGAAGAGGGTGTTACCATACTGAAGCACCTAATAATACTCCCCTTCCACGAACCTCAAGTAGAATCCTTGGTAGCCCAGTAGCCATATTGCAATATTGGCACCCTTCTTGGGATGGTTACGTTGATGAGAACCTAGAAGCGAAAAAAGTGCAAAAGAGTCATCAAGGATACTTAGGGGCTGAATACCCTCGCCCAAAAATAGAAAGGTCAACCATTTTTGTTTATATATATGTATATATAAATCTACATATACATGTAATAGGATTCTCAAAACCAAAAATTGGGATGTTCCCCCTCATACAAACAGTCCTTAATGGGTATACTAATGGGGGGTACTATGATCCCTATCAAAGACTGTTAGCATAAGGGGGAACATGCAAGCCAAAAAGGTTAAAGGTTATACCTCCCTTAGGATCCCATTGAAATAGGTGAGGTGCGCTTCTCGGCGGCCGCTCGCAAGGCTGCAGCCTCCGAAAAATCAGCGTGGGTTTAGGGTTTTAGGGTTTTAGGGTCTAGGGGTTTTAGGGTTTTAGGGTTTTAAGGTTTTCGGATTCAGGGGTTTCAGAGTTTTATCTTAGGGTTGTAGGGTTTTAGGGTCTTAGGGTTTAAGGGTTTTAGGGTTTTTGGGCTTACGGTTTGAGGTTTTTTCGGGCTTTAGGGCTTCGGGTTTTAGGGTTTAAGGGCCGGGTTTAGACATTTTCATCCCTATGAAGGCCTGGTGGTATAAGGGGGAAATCCCAAGGTTGCAGGCTCTACTTCTAAGGGTAGTTCTATGGTCCCTGAATATGGTCCCTAAACCCTCAACCCTAAACCCTAAACCCTAAACCCTAAACCCTAAACCCTCAAAGGGTTCTGGAGTATGGGCCCTTGGGTCTTATAGGGTGTATAAGGGGTCCCCCTTTTTAATGGCCCATATTACGGGACCATGTAACTACCCTTAGACTACTAAAACCCAGGAGTAACCTGGGAATAAAAAAGACGCCCTTTTTGCTTGTACAGGGCCCACATAACGGAACCCAAATCCCGAAAAAAAGGGAATGAGGGCCCACTCTGCAGGGGCCGCGGGTCCACGCCAAACCTGAGGCCCGAACTAAACCCCAAACCCCGCCAAGGCCCCAAAGCAGCAACTCCATTGACGGGAATGGGGTTTAGGGTTTAGGTTAGGGTTTAGGGCTTAGGGCTTAGGGCTTAGGGCTTAGGGCTTAGGGCTTAGGGCTTAGGGCTTAGGGCTTAGGGCTTAGGGTTTAGGGTTTAGGGTTTAGGGTTTAGCATTTAGGGTTGAGGGTTTAGGGTTAGAAACTGAGGTGCAGTTCTTGCTGTTGTTGAAAGGGGACGAAGCATCAGGGGGTTGAGGGTTTCAGGGTTCAGGGTGTTGAAGGAGCTTTTTGAATCCCTGAACCCTGCTTGGAGGTTCATGGTACGTACTAACCACTTCTAATAGTCTAACTGTACTTATAACCCTACTAAGGCCCTTTAGGGGTATTGTAAGTAGGGTTATAAGCCCAGTTATAAGTGGTTAGTAAGTACCATGAACCTCCAAGTGCTTGCATTGTTTGTGGATGCTGAAGTCCCCAACGATTCCGCGTAGACTCCAAAGCACATAAATATGAAGGAAGATGCCTTCAATCGACCTAAGGGGCCCCTACTAGAATTCAAGGAAGACCACCGAAAGCAAAATTTAACGGGGCCATCCGATGATTTAAGGAAGATTCCCTAAATCATCTTAGAGGTCCCTATCCAATAGCAGCTGGAAAAAGTTTAGGGGTCTTGGGAGCTCCTAAAAACCCAACAAAAACTCCAAGCAACGAACACCCTAAACCCTACTTGGAGGTTCACTGGTAGCTCTGGGTACAAGCATATAGTTGCCATACTTGTAAAACTACCCGTGAAGTTCCGAACCCAGGGACTCCAATACCCCTGAACTAAGGAATACTCTTAAGACACAGGAGGGTTCCTCATATGGTTTCAGGAATATTCCCTTCTACAGCTTCTGTGGTCTGCAACTTGGCCCCACAAGCCACTGGTGCTCGAATTTTCGGGCTTTAAGGTTTAGGGCTTAGAGGTAAACCCCAAAACAGAAGAAGACTAAACCCTTCATGACCCTTCAACCCTAAACCCTAAACCCTAAACCTTAGACCCTATAGACCCTAGACCCACACGAAACCGAAAGCCCCCCTAAAAGCCCCATGCCTCTGCTTCCTGGTTCTTGCGTGTGCAGCTCCCTGCGCCCCGGCTTCTTAATGAGTAGGGTTTAGGGTTTAGGGTTTAGGGTTTAGGGTTTAGGGTTTAGGGTTTAGGGTTTAGGGTTTAGGGTTTAGGGTTTAGGGTTTAGGGTTTAGGGTTTAGGGTTTAGGGTTTAGGGTTTAGGGTTTAGGATTTCGGATTTAGGATTTAGGGTTTAGGGTTCAAACTTTAGGGTTTAGGTTTAAGGGTTAGGGTTTGTCCATGAGAACAGACCTCGATTATGAGCCCTATAGCCTGAAACTCTGACTCCTTCGAACTCTCTTCTTTTAAGAACATTCCTTAATTAAACCCTAAACCCTAAACCCTAAGAGGTATTGGAATCCCTGGGTGGTGTCGCATGGGCTGCATAGCTGTGTTTGGGCAGCAGATGCCTGCCGAAAGGCTCAGCTCTTCTTTGGACAGCAGAAATGTTTTCTGAGAAGGCAATACCCCTAATTAAGGAATGTACCTTGGAATATTCACCCCTATACTTTCAGTCCTGAATAAGATTAGAGTACCCCTACTTATAAAATCCCTAGTAAGGACAAGTAGTATAAGGGGGAACATCCCAAAACACATACCCTGCATCATGAGGATCCCGAAAAAAGTTTCAGGTCAGGTTTGGTAACGCCTTGTTGTCTTTGCACCCAAAGAAGCCCTCGAGACCCCTTAATGAAGGAATAACAGCTTCAATTTGGGATGTTCCCCCTTTTACTAACAGTCCTTGATGGGGATTATCATGGGGGGGGTACTATAATCCTTTTACGGACTGCTGGGGGGAACATCCCAACCTTAAATCATACTAAGGATCCCAGCAGGGTTTAAGTTTAAGGCAGATCCCTTCATTAACGGCTTTTGGGCTCTCGTGGTATCATGGGTTCCCCTACTACCCCCCCTGCACTACCCCCCGCCCCCCTAGGCCCTAGGTTACCCCTTGAATCACCTTAACTAGGCCTCATTTTCCGTAAATCGTCTTGATTATGGGTGGGGAACCTAGGGGGGTAGTATAGAGGGGGGTAGTGGGGGACTTATTGGGGAGCCAGCTTGGGCAAAAACTGCGTGGACTTCAAACCCTAAACACCCGGGCTGCCCTGAGCCCGAAGTAAACACCACGCTTTACAATTCCGGTTGTCCAGCAGCCTTGCAGGGAAGCTGAACCCTAAACCCTGGTTCGGAAAATTCGGCGGCGGTAGTTCTCTTAACTTGCAGTGTAGTCTTTCGCTAAGTTGTGTGCTTCGGGATTGTCCAATTCGGAGTCTCGCAGAAAGCCTGAACCCTAAACCCTAGACCAGCTCAAACCCTAAACCCTAAACCCTAAACCCTAAACCCTAAACCCTGAACCCTGAACCCTGAACCCTAAACCCTAAACCCTAAACCCTAAACCCCAAGGCCGCGGCTGGAGGACTCCCGCTTGGTCTTGAAGGATGTCTTGATGCCCTGACAGGACTGGGAGGTTCATGGGTACTTATACACATGAAGAGTTTACTAGTTCATGGCCGGGATAGTATTAAAAATTTAAATGTCTATTCCTTGTTGAGTTTAAGTACCCTCATCAATGCAAAATGTTCCCCCACTATGATTCAGTTTAGGGTAGTTTAGGGTCCGTGGAAGTAAGTTCGTTCATCACGGGATATCGCATTGCCTGGGCTACTGCAGACAGGTCTTGCAAAGACTACCCCCGAGAATGGAAAGTGGATCGATGTTTGGTAGGGTATTCTCCCCAAAGACACGCCCCGCATGCATACACCGGCATTTGTAAGGAATCGCATGTACTCTCACCAAAAGCAAGGGCGCAAAGACCCTGCCTCCTATGCATGGGTTGGGGCTCGGGTCTTCAGCAATCGGGGAGCCGATCCCAAGCTAGACCCGGGAGTAACCTAGGAATAAAAGGGTGCCTTTTTGGTCTTAAGTTAAAAAAGGCCTACTCCCGGTCGTAGCAACACAAAGTATAGGGCCCTGGATAATTAGAATAGGGTTTTGGAGGTCGTTTTATTACAAATTATAAGGGGACCATAAGGGAATAACACTCGTGTTTTTTTGAACAAGCCAGAGAGCCCAATAACCCTTAGGCACGGAATCTTCTTGAAGTCACAGTAGGGACCAACCTACTACCGTCATGCTGTTGAAGGCATATTCTTGAAGTACTGGGGTATCTGCTAGGATGTCCCCCATATACTAACAGTCCTTAGTAGGGACTACAATAGGGCCTACTGTAATCCCTATAAAGGCACATTCCTGAATTAGGGTGTATCATGGGGCCTTCTGACAACAAGCCCTAGACATACCCCAGCAACGCCCCGGACATGAACTGCGACTGACAGAAAAACCTAAACTTGAACCCCCCAGCCCCTCGAAAACCCTAAGCTCAAGCTTGAGGATACCCTCAACCCGGCCTCGCATGTTCCAGGCCGGAACTTGAAATCAACCCCAAAGCCGAAACCCTGCCTAGCTCACCCCCCCCCCCTCCCCAGCCCCAACCCCACCAAGCTGGCCATAATAAATCGGTGCGTGCCCTCAACCTTACACCCTTACACCCCAAGGAAGCCCAAGAGGAAGCACCTCGGGGATCCCCAATTGGGGAATTGGGGAGGGGGGGGGGAGGGGAGGGTACCTTCTTGGGGTCCTTCTCATAAGGGGAATCCTACATTTGTTTTTTTTTTTGTGGGGGGGGGTTCTATGATTAAGGGTCCCCCCTTGTGTTCGTACACTCCCCCACACTCGCAAACCACGTGGCGCCTTCGGACTCATCGAAGGTCCTCCCCGATGTCCTGGTAGGTTCCTACTATGACTATTTGCTTAAGAATGCCCTTTTTTCACATTATTCATGGTAGGTTCCTATACTATTGCTTAAGAATGCCACTTTTTTGGTATTTATGCTCTTCCTTTTGAGGGTTATCTAGGGATTCTTGTGTAATCCCCTCAAAGCCCTGCACCACAAATTGACAAAGGTGGCAAGTCACAACCTGACAGATGAGGGGCTTCTGGCTTCTTTGGAAGCCCTTTTGACTTAGTAGGGAGGGTCAATAAGTTGGGTTTGGGGGATTCTTAAAGGGCTTCTGGGGGATACTACTTAGACTTGCTAAGTCGAAGGGCTTGCAAGTAAAGCTCCCTAGTTGCTGTGTACCCTGGCCCCCCACCCTCCGCCCTCACTTGAAACAGATAGCGCAGTTGTAGACATGCTGAAAAAAGTGACAACACATTAACTAAGGAATGACGAGAAATGGAGAAGCACCAGGAATGAATCTCACCAAACGTCAGAAGATTCCCCCCCCATTTTTAAAGTGGGCCTTTCAATTCCGGTAGGATTGAAAATACCCCAACAAAAGTGAGAGGCTATCTGCTCAGCTACTGAGTCTTCGGGTCTGGGGTTTAGGGTTTAGGGTTTAGGGTTTAGGGTTTAGGGTTTAGGGTTTAGGGTTTAGGGTTTAGGGCTTGGCAACTGACCTGGGGGACCCACCTTGACGGGTGATCACCTTTGTTGATGGAACGGACAGCAGCTTTGCCGATGATGGCGGCGGCTTCTGCGCAAACAGGCTGGGGTTAGGAGCTCCTTGGAATCTCCTTGGAGGTTAGAAGTAGGGTTTTCGGGTTTAGGGTTTAGGGTTTATGGTTGGGGTTAGGGGCTACTTGGAGGTTCATGGCTAGATAGAAGTAGGGGTTCGAAGTAAGTATCCTAAAAAGGGTTATATGTGTAGATGCCATACTTAAGAGCACTACTTAGAACAACCTATGAACCTCCAAGTATCCCCATCCCTTGACCCTCAACACCAACCCCTGGACGCATGCGGAGTCTACGGGGCTTAGGCCTGATCGTGCAGGCTGAGGAGAACCCTAAATCCTAAACCCGAAACCCTGAAACCTAAACATCTCCAACAAGAAACTTCCCTAACCCATTGTTGGAGCGGCTGCCAGAGATTGATTTTGGATGTCTTGCGTGTGGTTTGAGAATGCTGTTGCTTTAGATTTTCGCGAAGTTCGGGGGGTAGCTTAATCATTCACATATGGTATGCTAAATATATATATATATATATATACATACATGTATATATGTATAAATAAATATATGTATATATATATATATATATATTAACGATCATGCATATACATATATATATATACCTGTATATATATATATATATACATATATGTGTATGTATGTATGTATGTATGTATGTATGTATGTATGTATGTATGTATGTATGTATGTATGTATGTATGTATGTATATATATATATGTGTATGTACATACTCCCTAAGGGACAATGGAGTCTCTGGACATGTACACTCCGACTCAGGACCTGAAGCCCTGGTACTGACAACCTCGAGCCCACGACTACGCAAGGCGTTGTAGGGTTTAGGGTCTAGGGTCTAGGGTTTAGGGTTTGGGGTGTAGGGTTTAGGGTTCAGGGTTCAAGGTTTAGGGGTAAAATTGCCTAGAAGGTCCACCTGTTGTACCATTATGCAACTAGGTACCAAAAGAGCCCATACTATACAGATGCCTGCAGGGATGGCTTTTTCGTGGTAAATCAGAATTTGCCCCGCCGATCCCCAAGTTGACCCACCCGCCCCGTTTTGGTAGACAGGCACAGCCGAGTGCCCTGCGAAACCCACCTGGAGGTTAGGTTCATGGGTAGTTAGAAGTATGGCAATACATATGGCAACTACACTTCTCACCCTACTTCGGGTACTTATAGCCCTACATTGCGGGGTACAAGTGAGCAGGCTTCCCGAAACGGTAAGACCTTCACACACTAAACCCACCCCCAACCTCCACCCCACAAAGCCTGCAACTCTCCCCCCCCCTCCCCCTAAACAGTGAACCCTAAACCCTAAACCCTAAACCCTAAACCCTAAAACCCTAAAACAACACCAAGGCCAGGGGCCTTGTCTGCCTCAGCCGCGGCCTCAGCCTTGCGAGGTTTGCTGTCGGCCTTCTCGCCCTTCTCCCCCTTCTCAGCCTGGTGAATTAAGGTTTAGGGTTTAGGGTTTAGGGTGTTAGGGTTTTAGGGTTTAGGGTTTTAGGGTTTTAGGGTTTTAGGGTTTAGGGTTTAGGGTCTGGGGTTTAGGGATTACTTGGTAGCCCAGTACCCACATTTTACGGGGCCCTTTTTGGGGTTGGTTCGTTGCAAAGGGAGACAAACTCCCTGGCTTTTCCCGCGTGTTTCCCTTTGGGGCGGGATTGCGGTGGTTTAGGGTTCAGGGTTCAGGATTTAGGGCTTAGGGTTTAGTTTCCAGCAGGACATGGTCAAGGCAAAGAACGCCCGAACCAAGAAGCAGCGGCGGCGATTCCAAGATACTACTGGGCATCCTAGTTAAGGGTTGAGGGTTTAGGGTTGCTGAGTTCCTAGGCCCCCCCACAAGTGCACACTTTCAGTCCTGACTATGCGGGATTTTAGTATCCCAAAAAGTGTCATGTGTACTCATCCAGCTGTTAAGTCTAGAAAGCTCACTCCAGGTGGGCCCCGCCTCGCGTCCTCGCGCCTTCTGTTGGCTCAGGCGCTTCTGCCGCGCCTCCTCCAAAATCGCCGCCGCCTGAAGCAGACCCCACCCTAGACCGGAAACCCTGAACCCTGAAACCTGAAACCTAAACCCTAAACCCTAAACCCTAAACCCTAAACCCTAAACCCTAAACCCTAAACCCTACCGAAAACACCAACAGCTCCGAAAGCAAGGAAGCCCCAGACGATTAGCGTTCAGGATGGCTCAAAGGGAGGTAGAGGTTCCTGAAATCAAGGTTTCGCGCTTGCAGCCGAACTCTCAGGCCTCTCAGGCTCTATGGCTCTACAGCCCGAATAACCCCGGGATTCCAATAACCCTGGAAGAAGGAATCTTCCTGAAACCATATAACAAGGAACCCTCTTGTATGTTAAGGAATATTCCTCAAAGGAGGAGCATAATCCTCCTGAACCCCTTATTGGCAAACGGTCTCATAGTCTGTCCGAATACACTACTTAAAGGCAGAAGGGAAAAGGTGGTTCCCCTCCCCAGAGGCTCAAATTCAATACCGCTTCATGACTCAGCGCTTGCTTCGATGACTTAAACCCCTGACCCCGAACCAGCCGACACCCTTTTAGGGTTTAGGGTTTAGGGTTTAAGGTTTAGGGTTTGGGGTTTAGGGTTTAGGGTTTAGGGCTGAACCCTAAGCCCCCAATGTAAGGAAGATCTGTGAACTAAGGGTCTTCGCGTCCCCTTCTGAAACTCTCAACTTCCAATCCCTCTGCTCGAAACCACCCTAAACCCTATCCCCTAAGCCCTAAACCCTACCCCCGCCCTTAAGAACGCTAGAGTATACTCGCGCGGCTCCTCTCAGAACTAAACTAAATTCTCGTTGTCGAGTAGCAGCAAAACAAGTCCCCAAAGCCCAAGCCCCAAACCCTAAACCTTGTCCACGTAATTCCTGAGGAGACTAGAAACTGCTGTTTCTTCAGAACCCCACCTTGGGGTAAGATATGAACCAAAAGATTTCCTGAAAAGATACTTGGGCGGGTGCTCCCTTATCTCCTGCCTGCAACAGTAACCCCTGCAAAAGCATCCCTAAACCCTTAATTAACCCTTGACCCTAAACCCTAAACCCTAAACCCTAAACCCTAAACCCTAAACCCACAGGGTACCTGGGAAACCCCCACTTGAGTTCGAGACTCTCCACCCGGGCCTTCTCCTTCCGCTTGGCCGCCGCCTCAGCCTTCCCCATGATGAGGCTGGTGGGAGTTCGGTGCTGCTGGATTCTAATGGTGGTTTAGGGTTTAGGGTTTAGGGTTTAGGGTGTAGGGTTTAGGGTTTAGGGTTTAGGGCTTAGGGTTTAGGGTTCAGGGTTCAGGATTTAGGGTTTTCGTAAACCTCTAACTGAACAGAGCAGAACAGAAGCGAAGGAAACAGCAAGTCAGAGACAAGAATACAATGGATTGCTTACTTTAGTTCTTGAGGTTTCGAGGTTCCAGGCTCTTTTTGAATTTAACCCTAAACCCTGAACACTGCTGAGAACTTCCCATGAGGATCTGGCACAAGGTGCAATATGATAGCATAGTTCGGACGCAGCTAGTTACCCTAAACCCTAAACCCTCAACCCTCAACCCAAAACCCTCAACCGAGCCTCCTTGGCCAAAGCTGCTTCCGCCCGAGCGTGCTTCGCCTGCCAAGGCAAGGTCGCGCCTAAGAAGCAGCAAGCCTCTTAGGGTACCCAAAGACTCCGACACCCCTTAACTAAGGAATTTTCCTTAAAAATAGACTTGGGCTCCTTATGTGGATTCAGGAATCCTCCCTGACTGAGGGGTATTGGAGTCTCTGGGCTCCCTTAGTATGGGCCCTAAAAACGGGCCCCTTACATGCCCCTATGCAACCCAAGGGCCCATACTTCAGAACCCTTCAAAGGAGGAAAGTGACCATCTGAAGGGCCCGCTAACCTTAGAAAGCCACTACGGACAGCAGAACAAAGCCTATCAGCACCTCCACCGTCCTTCCGTTTGGGCCAGTTTAGCATTTGGAGTTCACCTTAAATATCCCTAAGCCCGAAACGCCTAAAACCGACTTTTGTAGGTGATCTGTGGAGATTTAACAAACATTCGTGCAATCAACTCCAGCCCGTTGGTAGGTTGCCTGTATTTATATACATATATATATATATATGTATATATATATATATATAATCTTTTCGAGGACTTGTAGAAAAAAACCTAACCCTAAACCCGAAACCCTAAACCCTATACCCTGCACCCTAAACAAATCTGAAAAGCTTGTAAAGGCCGATGGCCTCTTTATCTGCTACCCGTATACCTTAATACAGCCCCTAGACACCCTAATAAGAGCCCCGACTATATGCCCTATAAGAAACCCTGCTTCAGAGACCACCAACCCGTACAATGCAAAGCCCCCTAAACCCTAAACCCTAAACCCTAAACCCTAAACCCTAAACCCTAAACCTAAACCCTAACCCTGAAGCCTAAAGCCTAAAGCCTAAAGCCTAAAGCCTAAAGCCTCCAAAGACTTCCTGAGGAACTCCAGACAACAACAAAACACAGCAGAAGGATCTTAACCCTCAGAATCCCAAACCCTAATTAAAACCCTAGCCCTAAACCCTGAACCCCTACTGCACACCCTGAAAACCTAAACCCTAGCCCCCCCCCCCCCCCCCCCCCCCCCCCCCTCCCCGAACAGCCACCGAACGCCGCCTCAGCCTCTGCGGCTTGACGTTGCGCCTGCGGACTCTAAGCCTACTTAGAGGCTCATGAGTCGTAAGTAGGGTTAGGGTTTAGGGTTTAGGGTTTAGGGTTTAGGGTTTAGGGTTTAGGGTTTAGGGTTTAGGGTTTAGGGTTTAGGGTTTAGGGTTTAGGGTTTAGGGTTTAGGGTTTAGGGTTTAGGGTTTGGGGTTACTACTTGCAGCTTCATGGGTAGTTATAAGTAGGGCTATAAGTAGCCTAGAATAGGGTTCCAAGTATAGCTTCCATACTTACAACTGACTCTACAGAGAGCTACCTACGAACCTCCAAGCACGCCCCCGAGATTCCCCTCTCGGTTGGGGTTGCGGGTTTATTGGGTTAGGGTCACATTCGGGATTGCGGTTTAGGGTTTAGGGTTTAGGGTTTAGGGTCACATTCGGGATTGCGGAGGGCTCAACAGCAGAGAGGTCTGTACCCTGGACCTTAGACACCCCGACCCCACTCCTCTGCCGCGGCTTCCTGTGCTTCACTGAGCTGGCGCACCACCTCCCAGGAATTCTTCTTTGGGCAGCTTACAGCCGGATTTAGGATTTAGGGTTTAGGGCTTAGGGTTAAACCCTAAACCCTAAACCCTAAACCCTAAACCCTTTAGGGTTAGGATGCTTGGGGAGCTTGGGCCTGCTCACTCGCACCAGAAACACCCCCAAACCTACACCAAAAGCCTGAGACCCCAGAGGCTCCAAGACCCCTTAATGAAGGGTTTAGGGTTTAGGGTATGGGTTTAATATTCCTTAAACCATTTAGGGGTTTAGGGGTTTAGGGTTTAGGGTGCTATACTCCTTCCTCGCACGGAAGACTCGAACCCCAAACCCCAAAACCTTACTTGGAGGTTCAAAGGTGAAGTATGGAAACAATGCGTATAACCCAAGTTTGGGTCACTTCTAACGCTACTCATCACTACCCATGCTCCAAGCAGGCCCTAAACCCTGCACCCTATAAACCCCTACACGCCCAAACGTTCGCAAGATCCTGAATGGCCCTGCAAACTTGACATTACGAGGAGGCCAGCCCCTACCTTCCCCCCCACTGAAGTGGGTTTAGGGTTTAGGGTGCGGCGTCACGCCGTCATCCAGGGGTTTAGTGTTTGCGGGCTTAGGGCTTCAGGGTCTGGGGATTCTGGCGGGGGATTTACCTACTGGTTCTTTGTAGGGAATGAGGGAATTACAAAATCCTTTGTGCTGCCTTCAAGGGTCATACAGGGGGCAAATCTCTCATTCCCTACTAAGAACCAGGAGCTCAGGGGTTTAAGGACACCCTAAACCCTAAACCCTAAGCCCTAAACCCTAAACCCTAAACCCCAGACCCTTAAACCCTATACCCTAAACCCTATAACCTAAACCCTAGCCCTGATGGCCTCCTGGAAGTCCAAATCCATCTGCGCGTGCACACGGGCAATTAGGGTTTGGGGTTTAGGGATTAGGGTTTTGGGGTTTAGGGTAGATTGGATACTTGGGCAAAAAAGATCCTACAACCATCCCTAAACCCTCCCTACACCCTAATTTAGGCCCCTCTGACGGGCATTTCTCGGATCTTCTTTGAGGCGCTACTCTTTTCCTAACGCCCAGACCATCCAGACTACATGACGTCCAGGAGTAACATTGCCCTTGAAGCCCTTTGAGTGTCCCCCTGAGTGGCTTGGCGACTTTCGTTGAGACGTCGCCAAAGTAGTTAAAGTACCCTAAGCCCTAAACCCTAAACCCTAAACCGCAGAAGGCCTTTTTTTTTGTGGGGGGGGGGGCTCAACCTACTGGTTCTCTAGACTCAAAAGTAACCTGGGCAGAAAAGGCCTTTGTGGATTGACGGGTTTAGGGTTCAGTAAGCGAAGCTTAGGGGCTGAGGAGCTGAATTTGAAGTTTTTTTTTTTTTTTTTTTGGGGGGGGGGGGGGGGTATAGTGGTTGAGTTCAGTGTTTAGGG